GGGACATGTCATTAGTGCAGATGGAGTGCGACCTGATCCAGACAAAACTGCTGCTGTCGCCGCCTTCCCTGTCCCATCAGATAAAAGAGCAGTACGCCGTTTCCTCGGCTTGTGCGCGTATTATCGCCGATTTATCGCCAACTTCTCTAAGATAGCTGAACCTCTTACGCGACTCACCCGAGATGACGTACCCTTTACTTGGGGCGTAGAACAAGATACAGCGTTCACAGAGTTACGACAGAGAATGCAAACAGCCCCTGTTCTTGCCCATTTTGATGAGGACGCTGCTACAGAAATTCATACAGATGCCAGCAACGTCGGACTTGGCGCTGTCCTTGTACAACGACACGGCGGCGTTGAGCATGTGATAGCTTACGCCAGTCGTACTCTTTCTCGAGCTGAGACCAACTATTCTACGTCAGAAAAAGAATGCCTCGCAGTCGTGTGGGCGACGACCAAATTTCGGCCTTACCTCTACGGTCGTCCCTTCAAAGAGGTGACTGACCACCACTCGCTCTGCTGGCTGGCAAATCTCAGAGATCCATCCGGCCGTCTCGCACGGTGGAGTTTGCGTTTGCAGGAGTTTGACATTACGATTGTGTACAGGTCAGGGCGCAAACACGAAGACGCCGACGCGCTTTCTCGAGCACCTGTGGGGAACGCTGTCAGGGGCTCCGAAGATGAAGATGCCTTTCTCGGAGCAGTTAGTGACTCCGAATTTATGTCAAAGCAGCGGGCAGACGATGAATTACGCCCAGTCATTGATTCCCTGGAAGGCCGCAACTCTAAGGTCCCTCAACACATTGCTCGCGAACTGTCCTCTTTTTGTCTAAGAAGAGGCATTCTTTACAAGAAAAACGCCCGTGGTAGCGACAAGGCTTTCCTACTCGTTGTTCCTACCGACATGCGTGATCAAATCCTTCTGGCGTGCCACGACGAGCCCACGTCAGGACATTTGGGCTATTCGCGAACTCTCGCCCGAGTACGCAAACAGAATTACTGGCCGCGACTATCAACTAGTGTACATCGATATGTGAAAGGCTGCCGTGAGTGCCAGCGCCGCAAGACTCCGCCTGTGAGACCCGCGGGCCTGCTCCAGCCGATCGCACCACCACGGACACCGTTTGACCTCGTGGGAATGGACCTTCTCGGGCCCTTCCCTTTGTCGTCCTCTGGGAACAAGTGGATTATAGTTGCGACAGATTATCTCACGCGTTATGCTGAAACAAAAGCGTTACCCCGTGGCACGGCCTCTGAAATCGCGCAGTTCTTCGTGCACCAAATCGTCCTACGGCATGGTGCCCCGTCATGCGTGATTACGGACAGAGGGACGTCGTTTACAGCACGAATGATGGAGGACATTTTTAAACTGAGCTGCACAAGTCATCGAAAAACAACGGCTTATCATCCGCAATCCAATGGACTGACAGAGAGGCTTAACAAGACCATAGCGGACATGCTGTCAATGTACGTGGACGTACAACATAAAACCTGGGACGAGATTCTTCCATACATCACGTTTGCTTATAATACGGCAACGCAAGAAACAACGCGATTTCCGCCTTTCCGACTTGTTTACGGACGCAACGTGCGAACCATGCTCGATGCTATGCTTCCGTCCGACGAAAGCAATGAACTTGCTCAAGATGCTGAGCAATACACTCAATACGCCGAAGAAGCTCGTCAGCTAGCTCGCATAAACACCAGGCACCAACAAGATGCAGACGCGCGACGTTACAACCTCCGCCATCGAAATGTCACCTACCACCCTGGGGACCGAGTGTGGGTGTGGATCCCTGTCCGGCGACCAGGCTTATCCGAAAAACTCCTAAGCCGTTATTTTGGACCGCACAAGGTTCTTAGACGAATCACAGATCTTACCTACGAGGTATTTCCGGACGGCGCAGCGTCTTCTCGTCGACAGCTTCGACCCGAAACCGTGCATGTCCTTCGGCTGAAGCCCTACTTCACACAGTAGCCCTTGTGGTTTCACGTGCTACGACATGCCGTGACATTGCGTTGCCGCTGCTGTTTGTGTTCTCGTGTGTTTTTGTGCCCTTTCTTTTTGCGCTTGGCGGAAGCGTTGGCGAAACTTCCTCATTTGCGCTGCGAGTAGTGGCACTCTCCCTCTTTTGGTTCTCTATATCTGCGTGTGTATACCTTCATTTTTTTATTTACGAGCATCGAGTCGATGCTTTCAAAGGGGGGGACTATTGCCACATGGTTTGCTTGGGTGAGATCGAAGAGTGAAAGAAGACAAAGACGATCTCTCTGAGCCGCTGCTTGAGTAGTCGACTAAACGAGCCCATTTTTTATCAAGTTTGTCGAGAGTAACGTGACAATACACAGACGAACAGACAGACAGACAGACAGACAGACAGACAGACAGACAGACAGACAGACAGACAGACAGACAGACAGACAGATAGATAGATAGATAGATAGATAGATAGATAGATAGATAGATAGATAGATAGATAGATAGATAGATAGATAGATAGATAGATAGATAGATAGATAGATAGATAGATAGATAGATAGATAGATAGATAGATAGATAGATAGATAGATAGATAGATAGATAGATAGATAGATAGATAGACAGACAGACAGACAGACAGACAGACAGACAGACAGACAGACAGACAGACAGACAGACAGACAGACAGACAGACAGACAGGCAGGCAGACAGACAGACAGACAGACAGACAGACAGACAGACAGACAGACAGACAGACAGACAGATAGAAGATAGATAGATAGATAGATAGATAGATAGATAGATAGATAGATAGAAGATAGATAGATAGATAGATAGATAGATAGATAGATAGATAGATAGATAGATAGATAGATAGATAGATAGATAGATAGATAGATAGATAGATAGATAGATAGATAGATAGATAGATAGATAGATAGATAGATAGATAGATAGATAGATAGATAGATAGATAGATAGATAGATAGATAGATAGATAGATAGATAGATAGATAGATAGATAGATAGATAGATAGATAGATAGATAGATAGATAGATAGATAGATAGATAGATAGATATACTGTACAGGTCCCTACTTTGAAGTTCGCTGTGCATCCGCCCAGTACCACCCACAATGCGATTGAAGTTCTCACGTTTTATTGTTACACTTTTCCTTGACGTACTCAGCTTCTTTCATTTGTGAGAAAACAAATTATTTATATCCTCTTCTTCATTGAAGATGTGGACTTCCCCCTCATTTGGGTCAGCATATAAACTATGGCTGCTGGCCAAACGTGAGCACGAATGTCACTTATTTTGCAGTATCTATTACATCCTGGACACACTTGCTCCATAATTGAACGGGCCTGAAGAAATAATGAAAATGCTTAGGCCCATCTTTGACCGCAGTACAGGGCCTCTGATTATATTGGATGGCAAAGCTTCCGTATCTCCTTCAGAAAATACTTAAAATATTTCGAAGCATGAAGGTACATTAACAAGAACGTTCCACTTATTTCAGAGGATCGTTGAAGGACGTTTCCTGCGTCAATGAATATTTATTGCTAATGAAATCGTACGCATAAATGTTTAAAATTCCGCTTTATGATAAGACGGAAGCGTAGCATTCGTCACGAAATCAAGACAGATATTGGTGTAACGAGCTGTATAGAGAGACAAAGCTCTAGACGAGACGCTCGTGTTTCTGTACGGAAACCTGCGATGACTCAATCGTCATCGGGCAGTAACGAGGCCGTTTATGCAATCACACAAAAAAATGTATTTTCAAAAGACATGAAATGTCTAATAATAAATGAAGTAAGGGAAAAAATATAACATGCTTGGAATACTGGTGCGAGAGTCACAAGGGCATAAAAACAGAAAGAGTTCACCGGAGAGGAAGGCGGTGGTCAAGTCCCGGCGGCAAACTCAACGCTGGGAAGGGACGGCCGACGCTTGGGTAGCCTGGTAAGTCCAATGACAGCCGCGGCCAAGAACGCGGCTCACTGCGGAGGTCGTTGACCTGGAGCACGCATGGCGTTTGCCATGCCTATCTCGAACGCTGGCTGGCGCTCGCTGCCGTAGGTGCCGGACTCGCCTGACGGAAACGCCCTGGCGACGTTTCGCCCACGCCAGGCCCGAACTGCAAGGACGGCTGGTATGGCCCCAGGTGGGAGCCCGCTGAGACCTCGAGTCCGCAACCCGACGGGTCACTGCTCCCACGCCCTGGTTCTTCAACCTTGCTTTTTCCTTCCAGCCACGTCTGCCTCACTCCTTCTTCTTCGCACCACCCCACTACCCTGATTTTCCTGCGTCGTCTTCTTCGACTGTCTCTGTGGCGCGCACTTCAAACACAATTCTATCTTCCCGATCACGCACGGCCACTTCACTCATCACACATGCCCCTCCATCGGAAAAAGTTTTTTCTTTCTAAAAAAAAACTTTCTAGCCACGTCTTAGTCGCAATCACCACGTGTCCGCACAGGACCACTGCACCGCACCAGTGAATAGAGGTGATATATGTCCACAATAAATGTTCACACACCCTCACACAAAAAAACAAGGAAAAAACATGTAGTCAGCCATGGCACGATGACTGTTTTCTTCTGCTGAATAAACCACGTGGTTCAGAAATATACATTGTAGACAAACTATAAACCAGTTGCAATACACTTCCGTGAATGCTTAGGTTACAGCCTACTCATGAAATCGGCACCAGAATTATCTGAGCCTCTAATATGTTGAATAACAAAATAATACTCTTGTAATGCCAGACTCCATCTCAGTACTCTGCTGTTCAGGTGTTTGGCCTTAGCTAGATATTGTAATAGTTGGTGATCAGTTTGCACAACAAACTGCGTTCCGTACACAAAGATGTGAAACTTTTATATTGCCCACACTAGTGCCTACAATCTCAGCCTTGTACTTGACTCTTCTATCCTGTCGTGCGCTTCGTTGCTCCTTCGGCGGAGCCTCCCTGGGCACTGAAAGCATAGGCTTGTAATCAGTCGCCGCACCGCGGCCGTTGTCCTGCTTGCTAGGAGAGTTGAAATCTTTCAGAACTGTGGAACTGTACACCCTCGGGCTGTTCCTAAATGGCGGCGTTCGGCTGAATGCCTTGTTGCCGCTGTTGTACGACGAGTTTCCACTTGACCGTTCTGATGACTTTGTGAAGGTCATGTTATTCATGCGAGGCGGCTTCTTTGGCTTGGCCCCTAGCATGTCAGACTCGCGAACGCCACCGCCGTTGTTAGATCGACGCACAGTCATATTTCCACCTCCGACTGCCTTGGACTTTCCGCCGCCGCCACTGGAACCTTGGCCGGTTCCGGAGTTCGTACCGGATGTCTCATTTTTCTTTGGAAGGGCCGGGGAGGCACAGCATTCGTTGGCTGCCAAGCTGCTCTCAGTGGAAACGGAAGTGGTACTGTCGACGCGAAGTCCTTGGTCTTGAAGGCAGCGGCCCTCGGAGGTACCTGCACGCGCGTCGCGGTGTTCGGCGACGGTGACTTGGTGGGTGGCTTGCTCGACACTGCTGCCAGAAACGGCGGTAGATGCATGTGGCTCGCCGGTGTCTTGCTCTCCTTGCGAGGGATCCTTGGGTTTGGTTCACGAGGCCGGTACGGTACCGATCCGCCACCGCTGGTGCCCATGGCGACAGCCACCGAAGAGAACTGCTTGGTGCTCTCTTTCCATGTTGTATCAGGGTCGTGAGCCTGACGTGATCCGGGCACATTTCCCGCGATAATGTCGAATAACGGGGAAATCATGCATTTTACGATGCATACGCCTGAAAAGTATGGTGAAAAAATTTCCACCTTTGCCTCTGGAACCTTAATTCTACTTCCATCCGCCAAGAACAATGTTGCCGTGGTTCCCGTAAGTGCTCCGTCTGGCACGAGGGAACGCCGTACAACCATCGCATTACTTCCTGTGTCCCGTAATACTGAGACAGTCTTGCCGAATATCACGCCCTGCAACACGGGCATCTGATGCTTCGTCATCCTTGGTTCGGTATACACTGCACTAACCATACTCGCTTCGCTTTTTTCGTCCTCCACCTGCTCAACTTCGTTAAGGTTTTCCCTTTGGGACCATATACATGAGGCTTTCCGGGTAGTGCTGGGTATCTTGGTGCACGCTTGGGTGTCGTGCCCAGTTTTACGACAATACCCACAGTATGGTTGCCTTGTCCGAGCGCGGCATTCTGCAGCTATGTGACCGGTCTTGTCACACACAAAACATCGAGTGGAAGCCTTTGAAGTTGAATTACCCCCTTTTCTCCTGCAGGAGTGTTCTCCCCTTTGTCACGGAAAACAAGCAAGTTTGACTGTCGCTGAGCTTCTAAAAAATTGTCGGCCGCTTCCGCCATCTCTTCAAGCTTACGGCAGTTTTTCTCTCGCCAAAATAGCGCCACCTTATCATGACAGTTGTTTATAAATTGCTCCGCTACTATGAGATTCCGAACTGAGGAGTATTCCTTTTCCGTTTTCGACATCTCAACCCATCTGTCGAAGAAGCTTGGTCGGCCTTGGTCAGCCACCACTGACTCTCTAACGCCTTCAGCCTGAGCGAGTTGAGGACGCAACTGTATAGTCTTCTGGTATTCCTCCTGAAGTCGCCGTTCTAACTCCATCTGCTCCATCTTCTCTTTCCTTGCTTCACGCTCTGCAGCCCTCTCTTCTCGAGCTCGAGACTCCCGTTGTTCTACCCAAGCCCTTAACTCAGCTCCCTCTAGCCCCATGCGCAACGCCAGTGCCGTTAAATCCGAATTCATCTTTGATCTGTCTTTTTTTAGCAAAATGTAACCAGGGAACAGTAACTGTTAATGAATAAACGGCTTCGTCCTGTCGCCTTGGACGCCAATGTAACGAGCTGTATAGAGAGACAAAACTCTAGACGAGACGCTCGTGTTTCTGTACGGAAACCTGCGATGACTCAATCGTCATCGGGCAGTAACGAGGCCGTTTATGCAATCACACAAAAAAATGTATTTTCAAAAGACATGAAATGTCTAATAATAAATGAAGTAAGGGAAAAAATATAACATGCTTGGAATACTGGTGCGAGAGTCACAAGGGCATAAAAACAGAAAGAGTTCACCGGAGAGGAAGGCGGTGGTCAAGTCCCGGCGGCAAACTCAACGCTGGGAAGGGCCGGCCGACGCTTGGGTAGCCTGGTAAGTCCAATGACAGCCGCGGCCAAGAACGCGGCTCACTGCGGAGGTCGTTGACCTGGAGCACGCATGGCGTTTGCCATGCCTATCTCGAACGCTGGCTGGCGCTCGCTGCCGTAGGTGCCGGACTCGCCTGACAGAAACGTCCTGGCGACGTTTCGCCCACGCCAGGCCCGAACTGCAAGGACGGCTGGTATGGCCCCAGGTGAGAGCCCGCTGAGACCTCGAGTCCGCAACCCGACGGGTCACTGCTCCCACGCCCTGGTTCTTCAACCTTGCTTCTTCCTTCCAGCCACGTGTTGTTTTGTTTGTTTTGTTTCCCTGGGAGGTTGGCTCATACCCACTCAGGGGGATTGGCCAAGAAAGTGTAGTGCAGTTTTTCTGTGATCATTTTAACTATGTGCAATGAATTGGTATTATAATAAGACTAACGTAAAAACAAAAACAACATAAAAAGAGCAAACGAAAAAAAAATCAAGTTGAGCAATTTTGAGATTTGAGGTGTTATGTTTACCACTCAGCTGCGTTTACTTCACTCTGCCCTTGAGAGTAATAAATATTTTTTTTTGATTGAAGATCACAAAGGTATACGCTTGGTTGCCTGAATATAATCGCAAACGGCATTGAAAGCATCCCTGTGGCAATGTCCCAAAGCTGAGGCGCCAAAGCTTAGCGCCGTTTCCGCCGTCAATCTAAGGCCTATTTTCCGAAATGGCATAACTAGTAACCTTTTTCTAAGTATCTCGTAGCGGCGACAATACAAAAAATAATTATCTAGTGATTCCATTTCTCCGCAGAATGCGCAGAGGGGTGATGTTGTCTGACCAGCTCTGTGTAGATACAGGTTTAGGGGGGGGGGGGGACACGACATCGAAATTTAGTAATTAAGACTTCGAGCTTTCTGGACTGACTCCAGTGGGGTTGCCATGGAAACATGCGGTGGTTATAGTCTGTCCATGTAATTACTTTTTCTATCGTATCAGTGGAGATTGCTGATTTTCGATATCTTATAGCCGTGATATATTCTACATCTGGCAGTATGGACAAAACTGGCCCATCAAGTGCGGCTCGTGCTAAGGAATCGGCCAATTCATTTAATCTTAATCCACAGTGACCCGGAACCCATAGTAATCTCAGGAGTCTCAACTGCGGCGGTACTAATGTTTTGAATGTGTTTAGAATTCGAGAGTTCTCTGAAGCTGTCAGAGCTGCACAAACTGAAAGAGAATCCGTCATTATTATTGCATTGTTTTGATTTGATGGAAGTTTTCGAAGAGCTAAAATAATCGCCAAGAGCTCCGCTTCAAAAACTGGAGTAAAATCAGGCAGTCTCACTGAAAAGAACCAGTCAAGCAAATCAGAGGCAATGCCTACACCTGCCTTTTGATTATTTACGGAAGCATCTGTGGCTATTATATTTTTAGTTTTTGCATGCTCCAAGTAATCTGATATTATGGTTTTTAAAAATTTGAGGGATTGTAATTTGGCGTTTTTGGGGAATATATCATCATACTCAATAATAACATGACAATTCGAGTCATTAGTCTCAATTACATTTCTAATGTTCACATTTATACTTTGTAGATTTTTTTGTACAAACATTATCTGAGGTGTGTGAAACCGTGGCCAATGAGCAAGAAAGAAGGCGTCTGGGTTTGCGATAAAAGCATATTGAGATCTTCTTGCCGGTAAGCTATAAAATTTTAAAAAATGCTTGTACGGTCAAAACTCGAAATCGACAAAGTAGTGTAGGCAGGCGCGCTTCCTGGTACAGTACGTTGATAGCCACAAATCTAGGGAGTCCCAGACACATTCGCAGTGCTTCTCGCTCCAAGAGAACTAGAGGTTTCGTTTTATAAGCAGGGCCACCCGAGAATAATATGCAGCCGAATTCCATGATGGGGCGCATGTACATCTTGTACAACGTTATCAAGGTGTGCCTCCGTAACCCATATTTCCGGTTACTTAGCTTGTGTAGTAAGCCTGAAGCCCGCTGTGCTTGGGTAGTTATATACTCTATGTGTGGAGTCCAGTTAAGTTTGTCATTAGAAATGATTCCCAAATATTTTATAGAGTCTACTTGCTGGGTGGGTTCCTGTTTATATAGAATTGAAATTGAAATTGGTTCTGCAAGTGGAAACGCCATGAGCACACTTTTGTTGACATTTAACGATAACGAATTCGACTGCACCCAAATTTCTAACATGTTAATATATCTTTGTAACTTAAGTTGTAGTGAGTAAATTCCACAGCCAGCAGCAAAGAATGCGATGTCATCAGCATAAAAGTAGACAGTAACTTCTTGATCTGTTAGAATTGTGCTCATTAAAATATTAAATAATACTGGAAATAAGACTGCTCCTTGGGGAACTCCGCGCGTTTGTTTAAATCTAGATGAGGAACATCCCACCTTGACGCAGTAGAATTCTCTTGATTTTAGGAATGCTGCCACCCACTCAATAAAATATTGTGGGAAATTCAATCTCTTGAGCGCATTTAACAATATAAAGTGCTCCACACTGTCGTACGCCTTAGCTATGTAAAGCGTTACTAAAACAGTGTATTGCCTTCTTTTTCGCGCGAGCTGTATTCGGCTTTCTAAATCAGCATTGGCACACCAAATAGAGAAAACACTACGAAAGCCGATTTGGTACCGTTTTATTACTAAATTGTCTGCCATCCAGATACTTATTCGGCTATGTAGAACCCTCTCTACTAGTTTGACCATGTTAGATGTTAGAGATTGGTCTGCTATTATCGACTGTTAATCCTACACCCGGATTTTTTAGTATAGGAATCACCTTTGCTATCCTCCAATCCTGCGGCACCCATGAGTTTTTTAAGGAGTAGTTAATAACATTGGCGACGTCTCGAGACAATAAATTGAACAGAATTTTAATCATGGGTACTGTGATTTCATCTGGGCCAGGAGACGCACAGGGTAAATGTTTAATCACGTTGGATACTTCAGTCTGTGTCACTTCGTAAAACTCAGACTTTGTCGTAGACTTGTGCCAGTTTTTGGCAATACTGAAGTAAATCTGCTTCCCAGACCTTTACCGATTGCCTCTAAAATAGTGGTCAATTCTTGCGC